ATATCCTTCATTATATCATCAGATTTTACTAAAACGGTTCCTACTAATTCTTCTTTATAATCATTTATCATTGTGAAATGATTCTTTAGAAATTCGTCTCCACAAGAAAATACTTTTTTTAAATATATTTTGTAGACATTTCTATTATGGTCTTACATCTTGAAGCGCAATCGTAAAACTTATGGTAAAAGCGGTAAATTTGCGCTTAATAAGCGAAACGCATAATCTCACACGATAAATCTCCTAAACCAAAATCATCGTATCATGCGAATTTCACGCATGGCAAATGTCTCAAAATTCAATTGATGACGGAGCAAAGCGACGTAATACCAGTTTCCACATAACGAAGTATCGTAATTCGTGCACGCGCCCGCGCACCGCAGTGTTCGGGGGTCGCAGTTTGTCGGCGGCGAGCGAGCACGAGTCGCAGGCACGTGACCCCCTCGACAGTCGAACCCCCCGCCACTTAACCTCGCGCCCCCCGTTATACTTACTGTATGTGTGTTTTTTCTGTCTTTCTCTCTCTCTCTCTCTCTCTCGGTGCATTTTTTTCTCTCCTATTTGTGGAATCGAGATGATTTACGCGCGAGATTTTTATTGTGGGAATAGACTGCTAATGAAGTCGTGCGCTGGGAAACTCAATCTGTGTTTTTTTTGTTGCTATTAACGATAAAAGTTTACGATGCGAACGCTGGAAAAAAGATGAATGAATGCATACGAATGGGTATGAGTTTGTACAGGCGGGTTTCTTGTATTGTTGGTCGCGAAACTTGTGCAGGCTCTTGACAAGTGGTACAGGGAACGTGGTAAGTCCGACTTCTCTCACGCTTCGCGGCGATCGATGATTTGCTTGAACGTTTCTTTGGCAGAGCGAGTGAGCGAAATGCTTCCTGTGGCATTAAGTGATCGATGGAATGAAAATACAATCATTATATATGCGATAATCATTTGCTGAAACTTCACCAATAGAATTTTTTCGAGTTTTAAAATTCACAAAATATAAATTAATGCATCGTCCACTGTCGTCTGTATAATGCGATTATAAAAACCACAGCACTGGATAATATGACTGAAAATACGCACGATACAGACCAATTTACACTTTTAATAATAGAATAAACATACATAATAAACATAAAAGTTATAAGAAAAATCGTCTTAATTTCGCAAGTAAACGATATCGCAAAGGCTTATCCGCGCGGATAATCTCAATAGAGAGGAAAAAAAATTTTCAGGTTTGCCAATAAGATGTCGAATGAACGGCAAAATTGTCCAGCGATTATCATAGAAATGAGCAAACAGCTTACTCGTCGGCGGCTGCGAGCCTTGAATGAGCCGTAAATCAAAGTGTTTAGGGCCGCCTGTCGTCGCGAGTACGCCGTTGCAGGTGCGAACACTTTATTATTTCGCCGGCGCTGACTTTTACTCACTTTAGCGCGAAAATTGGATCGGATTTTTTGGCTCGCTGAATAAATACGAGTTTGCAATTGTGGCGAGTGGAGCTCACGCGGGTGAAATCTAATTCGCAACGCGCGAAAACCAATTAGCTTCAAAAAAACAAATAAAGTTACGACAGTTTGCAATTTTCTGCCACGTAGTATATTTGAGCGGTGCAAGATGTAAAAACTAACGACACTAATTCAACTATCTTTACTGAAGTTTCTAAAGCTCGTTTCATATTTGTTCAGTTTGCTAATATTCGCAGCGTCATCCAGTGGATACGCTAATTACGCGTCTTTCGAAAAATCCCTATTCGATACGTTCGCTGATATCCACCTCGCGTTCTGATTAGCCAATAGCCATCGGCAATGAGGCGTCAATGAGAAGCAAAAATACACGTCCGAGTGGGCGCAAAGTGCCGCAGCCAACACACGATAGCGGCCAAGGAAGCAACGCGACGGTAATCAACAGTGGCCAGAAGACTATGTATATACACAGTGGCTGGTCGGCGCTGCGCGATTGACGTGTGAAAGCTTCAGGTTTATTATTTTCTACTGGCTAGGCCGCTGCTCCGCTGCTCGGACAGCGAGGCGCGCGGAGGTGTCCTTTATGTAAGTGTCGCCGCCGCCGGTGTCAAGTACTTTATCGCCGCCGCGATGCTCATTCTCTCCGCACCGGTGTGCCGTGCAATTACGACGGGCATGACGCGCAAGTGACGTCGTCGTTTCATAGCGACTGGCTTCGATCGCCTGCTGTTTTCTTCTTATCTTTACTTCCCATGCCTCCCACGGATGCCCGTGTGCTACGTTTTAATTCTTGCACGTGTTTCCGACTCGTGCAGATTTGATCGCTCGTATGATTTGTGTGCCGCGGCCGAGAAAGTTAATCGTGAAGCGTCGTCCAGTGGGATGCAAGCATTCGGAAAAATCAGCATTATTATCGGCTTCACGAGATCAACGACTGCGCTTGGTTGAACGATTGTCTCCTCAACACCGAGAAGCTTATCGGTGTTGGTCTGGCTCTCGGAACAAGTCGTATGCGTCCCAATTAAACAATAAGCTGCTCTCTTATTCCGGCAAAACGAGGGCCAATTTAGATCGCGCTCCCTCCAACAAATTGGCCAAATAAATCGTGCGCCATTGTTCGATAAATCACCGCGCGATCTTGCGCGGCTTCGCGCGCTCCGGATATAACTTATAATTGAAGTGGGTATATGCTCTCCTCTCGACGGCTCGGCGGGCTCGGAGACAACGCCAGAGCCTGTTCCACTTTGCGGACGGGCATGTGTTGCGCTGCGCGCGAGAGAGATCTCTTGCGGCTCCGGATTTTTTTTTTGCCGTATCGCCTCGACGCCGCGACCACGGCGACGCGCGCCTTCTGCCGCGGACTCGGGCTTTTCGCCTCTACGTAGCGTAGATCGCGTGCTTTGATTTTCGGCGCACCTTTACAGCGTATCTCTGGAAAGCTTCCTGCTCGTATATTCTCTACATGCCCAGGCATTTGGTCGGGATATGGGGTATTACGGCGTATTGTCCGATTCAAAAGTGTTCAATTCGTGGAATGTTCATTCCACCAACCAGTCTTGACCACGAGTGAGCATTCATAGTCCCCTTTTCTATCAAATAAAAGCCAGAATTTCTCGGATTACAATTAAATATTTTACCTCTTGTAATACTTTGCTCGTGAAAATTTTTATATCATTAAATCAGAATTAGTCCCGTATGCACGACTCCCATATCGAACTTTGCACGCGAGTCTTTAGGGATAATTTTCTTTCTTGTCATTCGAAATCCAAATTAAAACTTGAGTATCTCGAGCAGTGACTAATCAGAAATTTGTCACCTTCAATTGTAGCGTATAAGAGTGTTGCATATAAGAGCAAGAAAGATGACTATTCAATAAGACTTCTGAAATGAATTGACTTTGTGCTTTTACAGTGAACCACCTATATTTACAGCGACAGAGGAGCACTAATGTTGGGTTAACAAATGAGCCAAACCAGAGCTAGCTTACAATTTTTTTTAATCTGCAATGATGCAGGAACAACTATTAAATGTTAGTGTTATTTATTACATTATTTGAACCTTTTACATGCTGACTTGGAGATTCTAATGGGCAAAAATAACTCATGCTCTTTAAAATAGACTACATACATCAATATTCATTAGTGAATAAAAATAGAACTTTCACCCATTTTTCAAAAAAATCAACTTTTACTCGTTTCAAGATAAATTATGCAAAAGATTAATTCTACCTACGATCGATAAAACTATTATACAACACTAAACTTTATATTAGTATAAGTAATACTTTTAACATCTTGTGCTTTTCGTTGCTCGCATACTTTTTAATTTACAATATACAATTTTATTCTATTTCCTTTATTTTATTTTCTACTCATTTTCTTTCTTTTCTACCAAATTTTCATATGATAATATTAATATCAATATCATAGGTGGTTCTAAAATTAACGATTTGTAATTTTAATTTCAAAACATAACGTCTTACATTGCTAAACCGATTTACTAAAAGCATATCTCCATTCTCGCAGATTATTATCCATGTTAATTATTTACAAGTTGAATTTACGGCTAAAACATAAATCTTACACTTCTAGATATATAATAAAAATATTCCAAAGTATACGGAAATTCAAAATTTCGCGCTCCTTTTAGCATCAACTAATTACAACGCTGCTGGATGTCGGCGACGCATCATTTTTTTAGATAGGAGAAAAATAAATAACTTATTACAATAAAGAAAAAGAAAAGATTAGATGGTGCTAAGCTAACCAATAAATCAATTTATTGCTTGCTGTCTTTGCAAATTTACATCTCCAGTATTCGGTACATCCTTCGTGCGTAAATTTTTATGATATATTTGAAATTTTACCCGAGGATGATCATTTGCTAGCCGTTTCCTACGAAAGGCAATGACCACAGCTTTCTACCTTGTCGGCTGATGCTCAGTAGCACATAATAGATGTATTCATACTCAGCTGCGATACCGTTGACCAATGAGCCGGTATTATCGGTAAAGTAGTTTGCACTAGGTGATAAACATTTTTTGCAGTAAATAAACATACGTGGGTGTAAAAGTTTTCAATAAAAATGATACTTCTCATCGCTGTTTGTTAGTAGTAACAATAAATATATTCGACTTCATTTAAACTTGAAATGATTCGGAAGATATTTTTTACCATAACAGCAATATAACAATGCACGTAATTTATACTTTGATTATTTGCGACGCGATGAGATATTTTGTAAAGTTTAGCGAAAGTTAGAAAATAATTAAATATTTTAGCGGTTTTAACCATCGAATCACACTGATCAATTGGGGGAGACTTTAACTCCAAGCAAGCGAACAAAACGGCATTCTTCGCACACTTTCCTCCTCTGACACTCTGAAATTAGCGTTGTTGGCAACAAGCACTTAGCTCCCGCCAAGCGACGGTTAACGCGTCGTCATCTATTTTCCGCGCGCTTGCAATCTACTTAACCCGGAAGGATACGCAGCGCACACGCCGTCATTTGCATAGCGAGAAAACTAAGCGCATCATGACAAGAAAAGGTCGCAAACTCGACACGTACCAGGTGTGCGTGACGATCATCGAGGCTCGTCATCTCGAGCTCAACGCCAATCCCAGGGTAGTCGTGCGAGTTGGCGATCGCAAGAAAAAGACAGCCGTGCGCAAGACCACGGACAGCCCTTACTACGGCGAGGTACGCTCAAGTTTAATTTGATTCCGCCTCGAGCTTCGGACGAGATGCGGGCGAGTATATCAGCGCAGGCATTCCGCAAGAGGCGAGGCATTTGAATTGCCGATAAGCCGACGCCCATCCGACTTTGATCTAATTTTTCCGCATCGTGAAAGTCAAATTCGCCGATGTGCGCATAGCCGACGAATGGGCGATGGGAAAATCATTGCCCGGGCTGCTTGAAAATCCGCTGCTGCTCGCTAATGCGCCTGCGGTGCGTTTCATTTTTCGCTCGGAATTACGATCGATTGTAATGCCGTCCGGCAAATGAGCGCTCGTCAAGCGAAATTCGGCAGGGCCATTTTGATAGTCGCTTTCGGCATACGTTAATTTCGAATGACAACGATCCCACTTTCTCGCCGCATTGGAATGTCGCCATTCGAAATTCAAACTTGGCCCGTAATGCTCGATAGCAGCGCAACTTGGCCTTGCTCCGAAAACCATATCTCGTCCCGAACTTTACGCTCTCACTGTCTCTCGTTGAAAGTACTTTGTGTTCGAGCTGACTTGTACGATGGAGTCACTGCTGAGTACGCGCATCGAGTTGGCGGTGTACCTGTGTGGCCGCCTTGGGCGTAGTAAGTTTCACGGCTGCTGTGATTTCGAGCTTGCGACCGTCTGGGATCAACCCGGTAAAGTTCGTCAAGTCGGCGATCTTCGTACAGTCGATACTTATAGCCTGCGCTCGGTAGATCGCCAATATTACCACAAGTGGGCGATGTTAACGAATCCACGCGATCCCGCTGCCGGCAGCAGAGGATACGTCAAGTGCAATATCGCCGTGCATGCTAAGGGATATAGGATGAGGGTACCACCCGGCAGCGACGCCGAGGACGACATAGAAGGGTGAGTGCGAATGAAAAACATCCCATTTTCCGTCGTCTAGCTCTGCTGGAAAATCGATCATTTTGCGAATCAATATTTGCAAAGCTGCAAATGGATCAGACTGCCCATGTAAAAAGTTCAGTGAGGCTGAGTGAAAGCTTAAACGCGTCGCGTGCGCGCGCCTAATGTGCATGTAACCGGTGCAGCGACGTTGTTATCCTCGCCTGCGCTTGCTGCACTATACTCATGCCCATCTCCAACTCACTGCCACTGGCATGCTTAGAGAGAGTTACGCTGCGCGGGCAGAATTTTTTTTTTTTTTTTTTTCGGGAGGAGGGGGGCACAGCTCAAAATTGACTGATGTGTATTTCAATCGGCTGTCGGACGATGCCCTCCAATGCCTATTTAATGGCCGGCTCAAAATCGAACGGGATTTTGATAGACCAATGCGCGCGGCCAGTTCTTCTTTCGCGCAAACTTTTTTTTAACGAGCTTCCGTTTTACGATCGGCTTACTTTTTTTTTACGCGGGAGTTATAAAGGTCCGATCGATAAAACAAAAAAGAAAAAAGAAGCATGCTACTACCGATCTATTTTTGATTTGCAGGAATTTGCTGTTGCCACTAGCCGACTCGAAATATTTTGCGACAAGACAACGCGCGAGCTACGCGTTTACGATACATCGGGTTGAAGATACGCCGTCCGACGGCAAATACTGCGTTTCCATTTCCTTTGCTGGGATGAAGGTAAAGCTTTCAAAACTAACGTTTGAAAAAAAAAATCACTTTGATTATGTGCATAATGATTTTCCACTTGGCGAACGGCGAAACCTGCAGCAGTTTAATAATTCACGAGCGCGCAGTCGGATATGAAAATGTGAATATTTACCTATATAGCTGATTTGTAAATGGAACGCTAGCAAATCAATTATTAACGTTTCCATTTGTAAATAGGGCGCCGATGTTTTTTCATTTCTAATGCTTTCATTCAAAATAATTTTCGTTCCGAAACTCTCCTGGTTTTCAAAAAAATATAAACCAAAATACTCATCGATAATCTGATCTTCCAGCTATAATCAAATTCAAGTATTCAATTTCATACTTCGATATCAGATTCACTGATGTCGAGGCTCTTACGATAAAAATTGCAAAATATCGCAACTCCAAATAGGCCTGCAGATAGTGACATTCGTCTCAATTGAAAAATCGATATCCATCAAAGAAAAAAAAAAGAAAAATTATTTCAAATAACGCTTGAAATTGTATTATCCTTCATAATCCACAGTCCGAATACATCCTGTCGGGTATATATGCGAAGAGATGTAACGCGTATTCCTCCGATAAAAATTTGAATAACTCGCGTGCGTGTATGCTATATACGAGAAATGCCTATTGAAATTTTTGTGGGACTTCGATTTTTCATGTTTATAGAGCTATGCACCCATTGCCGGTATCCGCCTCCTTCCATCTTCAGCTGTCGCACAATGGCTTTGCATATTATTGTGCGCTCCGGCAGTGTAGCATGTCCACTGACGCTTGTATTTTTTCTTTCTTTATTTTTGGATATTCTATTGAAAATCTTGAATAATGGAAGAATGAACGGGAGATTTTGCACTTTGCAAAGCTTTGGCTATTTGCCGTTGACATTTTAAGTATGTAAAAAGAGAATTCACTTTATAATTTATCACGAGAAAAATAATTTATTTTTCGAAAAATAAAAAAAATATTTTCTTATTTTAAGAAATAATATTCGTTTATTATCCAATTTCTATACAACTACATAGTAAAGTCTTATAGAGGTATCTGCAGATATCTATGCGTAAGGAGGTATGAAAGAAAATAAAATGAAAAAAAACAAGTAAAGAAAATTTAAAGTTTTTAAAATAACAATGTACAATATCTAAATTTATGCTAATTCTAATATCTCTGCTATGTTTCATACATTCATTCCTAGTAGATGATGTGTATTGTTCTCTATCCAGCTTTTAATAATTTCTTTTTCTTTTTATTAATTGTGAATTCCAGACCTTTCATATTATTGCTAAATTTCTGATAAATTTTAGTAGCAATATATATATTTGACTTCTAAAATTAATGTTAATGTTTTATTTATTTTAGGCATAATTATTTTGTAACTTGTGATATTTTTATTAGTACTATATTCAACAGTTTCGTTGTTTAAATTGTCCATTACAGCTTTCAGTAAAAAATACTACTTAATGAATAGTAGAAGAGGGATATTCTTTGACTTTTCATGTAAAATTTTAATTAGTTTATTTTATGTCTTTTGGATACTACATGATTTATTACCATAAACTCTGCTCCAAGCAATAATACCATAAGTTAGTATACTCAGCAATAGCGAATAATACATTGTCAATATCGTCTTAAAATTTATGTGTTTTGCTAGATTTGGTATTACATAAACAATACATTCGGTTTTCTGTGTAGTATATAAGTGATGTTCCACTTGAGTATAAAGTCAATTTCTACTCCTAAGATACTTGTAGGAGGACTTTCTCTTAAGTGTCTTGTTTGCGATATAAATTTTTAAATGAATTGAGATACTATCGTGGTAGAAAACAAATGGAAAATAGACTGTATTGAGGACATTGATTGATAAGCGATTTGATGCCATCTGACTGTTACCAATATTTAGGTAGTTATTCATATTTTACTCAGAACTTAAAAAGTTTTATTCCGAACAAATGATAATGATAGTTTCATCAGCATAAGACGATATTGTATTTTCCATCAATATATTAAGTAAATAATGTACATTAATGTATATTATGAATAACAAAAACGGTTCTTTGCGGTATGACAAGTAATATGATGACTATTTGCAAGGCCTCTAATTCTATATCTTTCCGGCTTTCTAAGTAATATTTTATGGTAGACAGTTTTAAACGCCGTGGCTAGGTCCACGAAAATAACAATGACTCATTATCATCCACACCATTAACTATTTGATTAACTATACGTGTCAGAGCAATTTGCATATTGCAAATGAGAAATTATTTTCTAAACGTTAAAGCTTTTTTACTCATCTGAAGATATATATTTTTTTAATTATAATCAGAAATTCATTATTCGTTTGTTTCTTAAATCAAGAACGTTAAAAAAATATTTTTTGTCTTTTTTGAGTATTTTTCAATGCAATACAACTGTCAGTACAATACAGCTTAATTTATGACGCTGGTGCAGAATAAACAATAGAAATCTGTGTACGAATGGACAAAGCATGGTTTTTAAAGAATAAAACTAATGAATGAATACATCCACATCAATATTCGTTATATATTTTTTATTATGCACTGGATAAAGTACTGTTTACTCCCTGTGAAAAAAAAACCTAAAAAATCTAATCTGTTTCAATGTATTTAGAATCGTAAAAGATTAAAAATTAATCTTCATTGGCGAAAACATAAGAAAACATCATTACAATGCAGGCATCGACGAGTTGCGTGGAAAACGAGCGAGTGGACGAACGATTGGTGTTTAGCGACATGTTTCCACCGCTTTGCCATCGCGCGAGAATTATCCTCAAGAGACGAAAGTCCAGCGTTACAAAAAGCGAGGAGTTCGCCACATACTTGCTCAATTTTAAACATATTTCAAATTCTGGAGAATACGGTAAGTTTTGAAATATGTAAATTGATGGCTTTCTTGAAAACGATGTAGATCAAATTCAATATTTTATTATTATTGATAAGTTATCGCATGGAAATTGCGATTTGGATTGCTTCAATAGAAGCGGAGCTGCAATTAATTTGTGCCTGGAAGTGTTTGAATAACGAGATTAAAGACGTTAATAGCTATAAGAAATCTTGAGAGCAATCCTATTTGATTTATGTATTATGAATCACTCCGACTAATGTTCTCTTGCACCGCTAATTACATTGTGGAAGGAAAAAAGCTTATCAAAGAACAAAGTTTAAAAAAGTATAATAATATTTGTTTTTCCAAACAATGACGAAATAAGTTACCATTTTCCATTTGTAGAATCAGTAATATCAAACGCATAACAAGAGAAATGAACCAACACAAAAAACCAACTTTTTTCATTACTCCAACTTTTTACAGCTCACTACTACTCATGCATTAATTAGTATCGTATCGATAGAGTATAAGATCTACCAAAGTAAATCCGCAGCAATAGGAGTTTAAGGTCACAAAAAACACTTTTTTTCGAGCAAATCTCGCTACTGAGTAAATCCACCGAAGACTCGCAAGGATTGGAAAGTGAAAAAAGAAACTTAATCTAAGCGATACTCGAAGGAGCGCACACCCATTGTCTTTTACACGCTCGATTTTCAAATTAGAGTGCCCAGTGAATTCCTTTCTAAGCGCTCGACTTTTAAGTTTTTTTTTTCGAACCGAAAAAAATGCTAGAGTGTAATAACGATAAAGAAAGGGCCGAAGGGAAAAAGTAAGTGAAACGTCGTTTGAATTTTTCATTGTGAAAAATTGGAATCTTTTGTATTTATTGTTCAATTTACATACCTTCTTTTTACTTTTTGTTTCCACTTTATTTAGCTTTTCCTTATCTCTGTGTTCCGCTGCATCTGTCGCTGCGATTCTATTCATGCCCTTTCATTTGATTGCAAGTCGTGAAAAGTTGTCAAGCGAAAAATCGATATTATTATTGATATTCTTTTTTTCCTTTACCCGAGTAAATTATTAGACATTTCAGTTTCTAAGATGTATGCCAAAGCTAAATAAAGAAAAATTCTTTTCCGCATAGTGTATAGTCCATTCATCTCTGATGCATATAAGGCCGAATTGAAAAAGTGCCAAACATGATAAAACGGAAACTGCTTACGTACCTGCGTTTTCCTTTCACATGTACTGTACAATAAAAGGAGAAGTAGATTCACAAAATATTTTCCTTGTAATCTCTCTCTCTCTCTCTCCCTCTCTCTCTCTCTCTCTCTCTCTCTCACTCTCTCTACCGCATACGTACGAAAATACAATGAGAAACGCCATGTCCTTTCGCCTGGTGGATATTCCATAGCCGTAAATGCCCATACATATCTGCGCTGAGTTTTCTACGTCCAATTACGTAAAAAGGCGCTCGCTGGAATTTCAGCTTCTAAAGGATTGCCTAGGATTTGTGCCAACTCGCCAAGACAAAGACCCGCGCGGATTTTTCATTTTGTAATGCCTGCCTTTTTTCAGTAACAGCCTTCTCGTGATCCCTAAGCTTTTCGGATTCTATTTTACTTTCGCTAGGCAACTTTTTTCGCCGACTTCTCCTATCTCTCTCACTCTCTTTCTCTCTTCTTTGTGGTTTCTGCAAATATAGACGAAAAGTTGGATCAGATCGTCCTAGAAATTTTCTCGATCCACATTGATATATATATGGCGTCGTAAAGTTTTATTTTTTTCCTTTCTTACTCGAGATTTCATGTGCTTCCAAATGAAATTGAAAAATACTACAGTGACGACAAAAAAATAACAAAGGCAATTTCTCTTTAAATTAGTGATAAAACAAATCCAAATTCAAAGAGACAAAAGTTTCTGTCACATTACTTTTAATTAAAATATCCTATAAACCGTGATAAGCCCATCTGGTTAAATATGTTACAAAATCATTGAAAAGAAGATTATCATAATTCAAACAAGTTCATTTGTTCCTGTAGGTTTCCTGCCGACTTTTGGTCCGTCGTTCTTGCATTTATACGCAAACTTAACAGACTCGAGCGGACCGATTTATCGAGGTCGACTTCTACTATCTCTGAAGACGGAAATCGAACAGATAGAGGATGTCTCAGGCACCGGTGTCCAGATTCAACCTGCTGCATCTATCATTCAGGTAAGAGAGCCAAAGTTTACCCGAAAAAACTTTTCCATCCATCTTTTACGAAACATTATTAAGATAAATGTATACGTGTATTGATTAGGATTTCGACGAAAATAACAGAAGCATTGATGGATTTTTAATGTGACTATGAGTTATTTGTATACTTTTTAAGCGCAAACAATTCGGCTTAAATCAGGATAAATAGGATCCAAGCTATTTAAGGGAAAAATAGTCAGACGCACGAAACATAAAAAAAAACTATATGAATAATGATTGTGAAAAAAATTCATTTAAACCGTATATTACAAAAATTACTTATGAAAAAATTCTTTACGATCACTATCAAAAGTATTATTCTCTTAAGCTCGCTTACGCAGAACCGCATATCTTATTTCCATGTTCCGGGTGAAAATAAAAATTTAGATGCAGCTCGCGCAAGTGCGAGGAAGAAAGAAGAGAGGAAGGACTAAGAATTCTTTCATTTCCTGTATTTACTAGCAGCGCTTGCTTTCTTATCTCGCCAAAGTAGAGCAAGAAAAAAGTAAAATGATACGCGTTTTGCGTTTTGCAAAAACTGATAATAATAATGACACAAAAAAAAGTGTTCGAATTACTGAGGGTTCTTCGATCAGTGTGAAACAGTATTGTGCAATGAACAATATGCAGACGATATTTTATAGATCAATTCATTGAAAGTGAATAAGATCATAGTTGGATGAGGGCTTTTTAAATAAACAAGTGATTCATTTTTCGCGTTAAAAAAATATGATTTGCGCAACAATTGGCGTTTCATTTACGTTCTATGCTTAAATTCCAGAACTGTAAAATATGACGAAAATATAGGCTGTTCCATTGAATCTTCTAATAGTTGAATGAAGTATGTAAATAGATTTTCAGGTACTTTTTCTGATAGGTAAAAATATGCTTAGATATTTAATGTAGCACTTTTTTCACCTTTCATCATAGTTATCTAAAATAAATGTTAATTTTTTAAAGATAGAATACAGATTCTTTAACTTATTCTGATTTGTGAGGATGACCGTAATATACCTTCGTCGAAGAATAAGATTAGTGATGAAGCAGCAGGAAAAATATTACATATACGTATGTTTCTCTAAACTTTTTATTGTCAACAACAACTGTTGGAGCTCTCAATCTCATTATCAGCCATTTTTAACAATAATATAGAGCTTAACTGCTTGGACAGCTATTCAGAAAAGGCAGCTGTCTATTTTTATTTAACAGGATGTTGTTAGCAGATAAAAGTAAAGCAGTTATTCGTAAGATATGACTGCATTACATTGGCACTAAGTATTTTGGCAAGGACTAGTAAACGACAAAGGATCATAATAATACGAGAAATCATAAATCATTCTGTTTTGTTAATACGTATTTTCACAGTCTGTGAGCCTTTTTCCGGTTACGTAACTTACAATAAATCGATATCATCAAGGGATATCGCATCAGATTTTAATTTTATATAATGACTTTTCAGGATCTACCCATTTCATCCATCCAACTATATCTCAAAAAGATAATAACTATTGAGTAAATAAAGAGACTTTGAATAACTATCGAGGGAATTTCGTTACAGGACAGTCTATGGAGAACGGATGAGTACTTGCTGGTAGGCGTGCTCTTCGACGCGTGCATGATCGATCGTGGAATACTTGCTAGTGGCAAGACGGCAGGGATTGGATTGAGCTTAGGCAATGCCGGCAGCGACGTGACGACAGGTATTGCAAGGATTTAAAAGGTGTCTCATCTTTCACATATCCTCTAGGCATGCCATTTCCATTCTATTATTCGATGAATTCGTAATGAATCTCTTGTGCTTCTTTACGATGCTTTTCTATCATTTACGGCATTGTAGAGTAAAAAGATTGGATTCCTCGGATTCAAAGAAAATGTAGAGCGATGTTTTTGAAATGCATTATAATATTACATCCAACAACAATTAACATGGTTTCGGGAGGGGGGATGGTTGATTTCTAGAAACAGAATCTGAGACGGGACACGCCACTCTGGACAGTCGTAGTGAAACTCCTGCCAGCATAATTGTCGGACTGGACCAGAGGTACAACTGCATGCCGCTTGGTACGAAAAAACCATGTGTTTTTGTCAAGTCGCGCTGGCCGAATACCGAGTGGCGAGTGAGGAATTCCAATCGGCTTTCCTGTATAGCGAGTTATCTCGTGAGTATCGTTAAGTCTGTTTAGTATTGGAGTGGCGGTCATTTAGAATAAACGATTTAATTCGCAATTTTTTATTTTTCATTACAATATTATGACACGTAATCAATGACAGCTATTAGAAAATTTGGCACTTCATGTTACATATGGATTAATTTTTATGAAAAAAAAAAACAAAATTTATCAGACTCTGCGATCTTTATTTTTTCCTAATTATGAAGATAAAAATTGAGTATGATTTTATTATAATAGTATTTTTCATTCAAGAATTTATGTCAAAGTGTCAAAATTGTGTAAAATTATCTTTGACATATAAATGCAACTCAATAGTATCTTTCAATATTGTAAAATTCATTCACCTGCAATACCTTTGGCTAACAACATATCGCAGTTAAACAGCCGAATACCCAGAAAACTTCTGGCATTCGTGTCTTGAAATCAGGTAGAAAATAACTACAGGGAGTGGAAAGGCGAAGCAGAGATCTCGTCTACGCGACCCAAATGCGACAAATCTTAACTCAAGCACCCGCTCGAGAGAGAGAGAGAAAGAGATGCTGCAAGGAGGAGATGTAAGAGGGAATGTAAAATAACTTGGGGAAAAGCCAGAGAGATGGAAGCTAAGAATGAATGCCGCTTGGGATTTTAACACTGTTAATTGGCTTCACTTTGATAAGGTCATCTCTCCTTCTTCTCATTGTTCGTATCGAGAAAATGAGCCAAGGACGTTTTTTGTTTCGATATGCTATTCAATGATAATTATCGTTCATCATTCATTCGTTCGTTTTGGAAATTAACCTCGTTAAGATAATTAAACCCTCTTTCAAATTCTTCATTATCCATAAATTATTGATACGTAGTCGCCAAATAATTATTTACGAGCTATTCAAATTTTTTGCTGACGCGTAATCTCACACTCGGGTAATCAATTTCGCCTTCTGCAAACTACAAAAGAACGGCCCCATAATTTGGCTGTGGATTAGAAAGTAGCTGACGGTCAATAGAACTTAATTTCGCTGACAGTTTAATATTCACCAAGCGGCGCAGTGGAGTTAGATATCAGCGTATGACCCACTTGCAACACAATGACTCGGAAGTACACACGCGCACGCGCGCGAGAGAGAGAGAGAGAGAGAGAGAGAGAGAGAGAGAGAGAGAGAGAGAGGAGAAACAGCGTGTGCGATTGTTTTTGACACTTGGCAAATGAGAAACATCCAAAAACTGACTTTTCAATTTTTCTTTCTTCGTGTATGGGACTCGCAAAGTTTTATGTTGAGTCAGAGTCCCATTGTGTAATTAGTTTGTTAAAGTTGTGAAAATCTTTACTTTATAATTTCATACAAAAAATGATCATTGAAAATTATTCGTAAAACTAATTCGAAGCATTTTCTTCGCAGGAAACTGAATTAGAAAGAATAGAATCACTACTCTCGTTAGAAAATGAGAAAGCTTACCTTGCCTACAACATAATAACGCGCAACCTCAAACGATGTTGCGTTGGATACTTAAATAGCTTGCCAGACTTTGCAACCATTTGCAAAGGTGGCAATAAAGAAGACATTCAGTCTTGTTTAACGGCTTTGGACAGGCACAGATTGAATCATTGCAAGCGGGAAATCGAAAGAGTCTTGGAAAGAGTGAAAATCAATGGAGAATTGACAGATAATCGGTTTATTAGAATCGCTATGGCTCACGTTTATAAGCATCATAAGACAATTAAACTGTTGTGCGACGATGTACGTACTTTACTATTTTTTTCCAGTCCTTAAATCAAATATTCTTTCTATAAAAAGTACTATTGAAAAAGCAATGTTGAACACCAATTAAAAATAAAAACGAAAGCATTCCAACGATAACAATTGAAAAAATAACTTGTCATTTGTCGGAATCAGTCGACAATCTATAACTGCATTGCAATCAATATCAATTGTAAAAATAAACAACTACCAATCAAAGAAACCTCCGGCATTCATTTTTTCAGCCTCAACACAGTCTGCCCGACGTGTTTCTTTATCTGCAAACGACAACGCGACACTTAGCTTTCGCTCGTTTACCTTCATCGACTGTCACTTACGCAGTCGAACGTCCCGAACGAGGTGTCAACTGCGGTAAACGTTTAGATGTATTTCTTTATCGTCGTGGCGACGAGTCGGATCGACAACCAGCTTGCAAGCTCGAACTCTTTCTCTGGCTTGGCGAGTCAAAATTCGCGAATGAATGTTGGAATTGGCTACCGCCAGGATTTACAACAGGCGATAGAACTACGATGTTCCCAGAATTTTTGGAATACGACAAAGTGTCGGTTAGTATCGATCGATTTTCAATAATCTATAAACTGAGATTTCCATTACGATGTTAGAGAGAGAGTGAGTTACAATTATTACGAAATCCCCTGAGTCGCACGAACTGAACAAGCGATCGGCATTAATGTTAATACGCTAATATTGTGTACAATTTACGCACGCTGTGGTATAAGTGGTGATAATGTGAGTTCATAGGTCAATAATCTAAACGCGCTTGTTGTCCACTAGCGTGCAGCACATACTGATGCACACGTGCTCAAGCCGCAATGCAGTTCATTCAAATTCAATCCCAGAGAGGTAGTCAAACCAATCACAGTTCTAGGGAAAACAATTGCACTCATCGTTACACACTTTTACTGGTGTGTAATCAGTGTTGTATAGAAATAAGCATTGTTTCAACTTGAATGATTGTAATTTCAATAATATGAAAAAAAGAAATTTGAGGGAAAGTTGTATCGTCTAACTGAGCAGAAAAACTTGATAATTAAATTTAATATTTTGAGTGGAAAAATGATTTGACGTTATAAAACTTATCTTTCAACCAAATGTCAAAAATTTCAAATCAATGTATTCTTTGCTGTATGGCGTACAAAGCAATTTTTCATACGCGAATACAATTGCATTGCTAGAAATGATTAATCCATATAAACACAGCGAAAGGATATATCATTGCAGTGAAAGAAGTATTCGCGGAGAAAAAAGTAATCCGAGTCTGCAAAGTTACATATTTCAGAAATACCAACTACGAGCTCACATATATCAAGGAAGATTCGAACCGGGAATGGATTCTTCTGGTTTACTGGACCCTTTGCTGCGTGTCTTTTTTCAAGGCTATACCATGGCCACAAGGGTAAAATTTCAAAAACATTTTCCGGCTTTCCGAATAAGAAAAATGCTTTTACGTGACAAATTCAAATTCACGAAGCAACACACTCAAAGAAAGCAGAGAGAGACACTCGTCAAACTTAACTCCAAACAATTTGGCGTTGCGCAGGTCATTAAACAGACACTCGACCCATTCTGGAACCAAACTCTAGTGTTTCCAGCAGTGGTAATATGCGGCGAATGCGAGTACGTGAAAAAACAACCGCCCAAAGTCGTCATAGAAGCTTTCGACAGAGATTATTGCGTGAGCACATCGAGTAGATTATCCATCGGAGGTTTTTGAAAGCAATGATTCGACGTCTCTTTCAGAACAGCTTCGAACTGTACGGCCGTTGCATCGCCACGCCACTGGTCAAGCTATTCAACGACGACTATGAGCCAGCGAGCAAACTAAGCTGGCATCGCTTCCCAAACGGTGGTGCCGTATTGGCTGCACTCGAACTCATCGAGGTGTGTATATATATAGTTTCAACGGCTACTCTCGTTACAGAATTTTTTCCTTCTACTGATGTCGAGAATATGATACTTGAGAGCGAAACAGAGGTTATTTTCAAAAATAGCTTTGTTGAAATATACGTCTCTTGACAGAAAATAGCTTCTCTTTTTTTGCCAATAAGGAAAGATGTATTTGCCTATAAATGCGGTCAGACTGTTATTAAGATTTCATTACACAATGTTTCATAAAATTTTATTTGAGGTACATCGAACGGTTGACATTCGAGTCTTTATCACAGTGTAATGACATCCACTGTTACAACTCCGACAAATTTTCGTAGTCAAACTAATTTCCCTGTAATTGATTGTTATTCACCTTTACAGAATTTATTCGTAATTGGCTATCGGTCATTCACAATTCATTCGATTTGTCAGTAATGTTTGAAATGTAATACCGTCTGAAATTGAATGCACTTACTAGGTCAATTTAATCATGTACAAAAAAATCACAACTGCAGAAAAAATTATTGTGTTTGTCAATCTACAGATCGGCGATAAGTCCAATGAAGAAGAATCTCCGGCCGACGGTGGCAAACAGATAATCCGCATCCCGGAAAACATAAGACCTCGCACGGCAAATTTTCGCCTGGAAGTGATATTCTGGGGCGTCCGCGATTTGCGTCGTGTGCGCCTCGTAGCCGTTCACCGTCCAAAAATTATCGTCGAGTGCGCTGGTACGAGAGTTGAGTCGCCGGTTATGAATAACGCCAAGCGCTTCGCAAATTTTAAGGAGATTTGGGCGAGCGTCGATTTTGTGAGTTTACCATGCAATGAATTAATTGTTTAAAGCCGATTAGTTTGCATTTCACCCAACCAAAAACTCGAAGGACTTCATGTGAATTTCTATAAATAGGATGATCCTGATAATTTTGAAAGTTATCGACGGTACAAAGTAATTTATGAAATCTTTACTGGCTCTCAAGAGGATTAAATTAAATTTTCATGTGCGTTGGATATTCAGTCAGGCGAATAATTATCATTATTGTTCTATTGTACTTTTGAACAAATTATTGATCTGCAGGTGTAAAATATTCTGCAGTTTAATAATCGACGGATCAACGAAGTCGGCCAACGAATAACCAATACAATTGTCGATCGATTAATATACAAATAGAAAGAATGTGTAACAAAGTATTGCACTCAGACAGTTGCACGTGAAACTTTAATTCTTGCAACATCCAATTCACAACGAGCTCAATAAATGCTTCTCCGTCGCAGGAAATGCCCGAAAATGAAGCTTACTATCCACCGTTGACCATCAAAGCCTACGATTCTCGTGGTTTTGGCTACTTCAATTACATCGGCGTATGTAGTCTGCCAACAATAAGCCTATTCGTGCAACGGCTGCTCACTCGGGCCGAGTACGAGGCTGCAATTTATCACGTCGGCGGTACGGCGAGGAAGTCTCGACCATCGCCGGCTGTTACCCGCCAACGTGAGCATTCGCCGCCCCTCGTTCATTTCCGCAATTGTTTGCGGAACAAAGTTTTTTCACGCGGGCAGCTACGATCGACTAATAATTCATTCGCATCTTACAAATTGATGCCTTCCCCTGTGCATGACAGACGAAGTGGCGATAGATCTCGAGGACGATGAGACAACGGCGTTGACAAGCTACAAAAAATTGGCTGCTAAGCCTACCGCTACAGTCGGATTCTCGGCTCGCAGGCTGCTTAAAGGTCTACTTAGTTGGCGAAGAAGAAGGAAGACCGAGCACGTAGACGACGACGTTGCTGCGCTCGACAGGAACGAATCGCACGACTGGTGGAGCAAGTACTATGCCTCTCTTGAGGTAAATTTATCGCGGTAAGAAAGATTTGGCTTTTAAAAGGTCCCATTCCACAGGTCAGGGCTCTCGATTAATGCAAGTATACTAAAGTGGATACCTAGTCTCACTTGTATTTCTGCTGTTTCGTTTTTTTATTCATGACATCAGCCGATTCATTACTTGAAAAACTCTTTCAAATTATTCCAAATTTAAATTTGTAAGTAGAGTCGATTACAGTTTTCATCTTTCTTGTGGAAGCGAGTGCCGAACGATCTGAGAGATCTCTTTTTCATTGCTCGAATATTCAGTCAATTGATCGAACTGAAATGTCTGAAATGTAAAATTAAATTGCTTCATCCCATTCGTTTAAATAAATGTTGATTCCAGCAATGTTAGCTCGATCGAGCTATGCGAGCCGCAAAAAACGTCCAATCTAAAACCTCGACCACTCTCGCGAGTGCATTTCGCAAACATAAATCGCCAAGTTGAAATAAAAGACCATTTCGAGCATGCGCACCCCGAGTCAATTTCGTTTTCTCTGTTACAGGAAGAAAAGGATCGAGAGCGTGGCCTGCTGCCAAATTCTCGGCGCTTAGCGACTTTTAAAGTGAGTTTATCGCCGCACATGACGTTAATTTTCTTGAGTAACAAATAAACACTTCGTTCAAGGTTTACAATGGCGAATTGGAAGCGCAAGCCGAATTCGATGGTTTTCAAGACAGATTACGAACTTTTGAGCTTAAACGTGGAAAGAAAGTCGTTGGCGAGGACGACGACGATTACGGTTGTGCAGGAAAATTCAAAGTGAGAGCAGCTTCTTATTAGTCGAGTGTACGCGTAAAGCGATTGGGTAGCGTGAGAGGGAGCTTTGATAGTTTTAACCGTTACAGTTTTTGAAGTAAGCTACGCTGGATTGGAACGCCTGAGTATAGGATTATCTCATTTGCTTTGTGATCTTTGCTGTAAATAAGTAGCATTCTGAAACTGAAAATGTTTTCGACAATCAAACTTGAGAGTAAAAATAATTATTCCACGCGTCTGACTAAACTCGATCTCCATCTACTTACAATTCAGTAGTGCGCCTCGATCATATAATCAACCAATTCGACTTTTCAATAGCTAACAAAGAAAAAACATATCTCATCGAATAATATTCTTTGTACACACAGGGTTTTGTAACAGTGTATCGCTGGCCTCATGCCGACGGTTTCAATTGCGTCAACTTGGCAGGTAGGAACGCCAACCAAGGTCTTCTCACCGACTATCCATCTACCGCGCCTCTCAAACTTCTTGTGCGTCTTTACGTTATCAAAGGTTCGAAACGTTTTTTCTGACTGCGCGACGGTAAAACACAAAAACGACGGTTAACGTTCTTTACAAGCAGCCATCAACCTGAGACCCAGTGATTCTTTGAGTGGCAAAGCCGATCCGTATTTACGCCTAACACTTGGTAAAAGTCGCATCAACGAGAGAAAGAGATATTTGCCAAATCAGCTTAATCCAACCTTCGGCAGGTGAGTTGAATTCCACTGCTGTTTTTATTGATTCTGCGGATGAGAATTTTATGAGGACTTGCCGAAGCCTATAGTGCGGGTCAGTTGGATGGATACTGATGGATCGATTTTGAAATAATTGATGATAGCTGCTGCTCTCAATTCTCCTTTTTCTCTTCATTCGATTGAAAATTCATCGCACGAATTTCATTTGAGCGTGATGAAAATTCAATCTGACTTCAATTTTATGAGAGAACAGCTCACAACTATTCATTATACAGCATAATTGCATTTCGACGTGATGCACGATTATCAAAATATCAGTCTGATACCTGCATTACATAAAGTCCTCAAGGATCCATTGCATCCAAAGAAAAATAAGTCTAGGTGAAGGAAGAAATCAGGTCACACGAACGCGCGCGGCTTTGCTGCCACACAAGCAGCGCGCGTGGACGCGAGCATAGGGTCTGCCGCAAAGCCCAAACAATCGGGGCAGCAGCGGCACGGAGCCTATGCAAGCAGGCAAAACGACGATAGGTCAATCGCATTTAGGCAGACAGGGCTAATTAAACTTGAGATTCGACTAGGCTTTTCGACGCTTCGAGCGCGCGCGCGCGCGCATTGACAATAGTGTTCGAGTGCACCACGATTAACTTCACTTTACGACACACTGTTACAGAGTGTTCGAGTTAGAGGCAACATTTCCGCACGACCACACCTTAACGATTCAAGTCTGGGACTACGATACAAGCTCATCGGACGATTTGATCGGCGAGACACGTATCGACCTGGAAAGTCGTTTCTACAGTCGTCATCGCGCTCATTGTGGCCTTGCCAAACGTTACCACCTCATCGGTTACAACCGCTGGCGTGATCGCGAACGACCGTGCCAGATTTTAAGACAACTCTGTCGCAGACATGGTTTACCTTTGCCCGAGTATTGGAAGGATCATGTAGCCATTGGCAAGGTCAAGTTTTATTGCGCGAGAGACGTCGAAGATGATGCTGGTTTGTTCTCTTCTCTTCATTTTGTGTTTGGAAGAAATGCATTTCTGTGAATTTGACAACACTTGGAGAAAGACATTTTTTTATTTCATGCATATTTAAATTAATTTCTTTACCTTTTCGATACAAGAAACCTCTCTTTCTTTTGGAAACTTGAAGGCAATCTTATCAATCTCGATTGCCTGAAATTTTGAATCACAAAATTATTAGTAAATTTATCTAGATATAGGTATAGTCTTATTTTTCTACAAAATCTGTCTTTATTTTTAACTTTAAAAATTAAATTTAGAAAAATATTCTATAATTAATACACAAGACTGCTTTCTTCGGATTTTTCTGGTCACTTTTTGAAATATTTTAAAAATGGAGTTGATATAAAAAATAGCCACTTCTAAGCTATGAAATATGCACAATAGTTGATAAAAATGTAATAGAAAAATGGCTTTTAACTCTTAGAATTTGAACAAGCATTTAAAATATGTATGTTTAAAGTTTTAATTTTTCCTAATAAAAGGATTAATATCCTTTATTTGCGTAATAATTTTCGCAAAACTTGAGTACGTCACAATTCATTAACTCAAAATTTGAATAAGTCTTTGTAAGCTAAAAATAATAAGTTGACCTAAATCCATTTACGTATAAAGACGTACGATTCTTTTATGTAGAATATTATAATATTTTTAGATTAAAATTATTTTTATTAAATTATGAAAAATATCTTAAATTTAGAGAAACGTTATGAAAGCTAGAAATTCAAGAAATTGTTTGTAGCAAAATCAAATATTGCATAGCACCAAATACTGCATTTCTGCGAAGCTATTGCTTAGATATACAATTTAGTTTAGACAACTGCGACGTGCAAACTTCAAGTTAGGCGTATCAATTACGGCATCAAATTCTACATTGCACTCAGTCGTTTTCGTTCAACAAATATAGAAGTAGAAGAGCGAATGGCACTTAGTGTTCTACATCGTTGGTCGGAGATGTCACACTGCGGATGCACCCTCGTGCCTGAGCATATCGAGCGACGGCCGCTTTTCAATCTCAAAAGGCCCCAACTCGAGCAGGCGAGTTTCTGCTAATCATCTTCATAACTTAAGCGCAGCCCGAACGTTCAGGGAACGCGCGTTAATTAGCTCTCGAAACACGCCGACAAAGGGTGTCGCTTTACAAACAATTTTCGATGCGCACGCGATTGTTCAATTTGGCCGGCATCGATTTTTCCACTATCAGCGCATCGTCAATTATGAATAGTCGTCGTGGCGCTGACCTTAATCGAAATGAGCAGTTTGTTTTTTTTTTTTTTTTTGCATCAGGGTCGACTCGAGATGTGGATTGACATGTTTCCCGTGGATGAGTTACCATTGAAACCAGCAATCGACATAAGCCCACAGCCGCCGGAAAACTATGAAATACGCGTGATTGTCTGGAACACGGAGGACGTGCCACTCGTCGACAGCCAGTTTCTCACCGGTGAAAAGTGTTCCGACATCTATGTCAAAGGGTAAGCAAATGTCTTTTTCTTTTTCATCGTCGGAATGAGGCCAGTGATCGCGACGCGAGCAAAGAAATGATTTTTGCGTGCCACCGAATCATTAGCGTGTATCTCACGTGAGAGTTATCAAGGCTATTAACAACCGACACGCGATTAGTTTCGCCTCGCAGGGGCAACATTCAGTTAAAAAGTTTTCATTTTCAAGATGGATTTTGCCGGAAGATACACAGTGCACGGATGTACATTACAATTCTTTGACGGGAGAAGGTAATTTCAACTGGCGCTTCGTTTATCGGGTGACCTGGGCGAAAGGCGAACGAATGATGATTATACGGCGAAAGAGTTCTGTATTCGCTCGACAAGAGACCGAGTTGAAAATGCCTTGCAAGCTTACGCTGCAGGTTTGGGATAGTGATCATTTCTCCAAGGATGACTTTCTTGGTGAGCCTAGTCACTTCTTTATTTCAATGACTATTTTGAGTTTTAATAGACTTGCAAGCAGCAGCGATTGTCTTCTGTTTTTTTCTTTCAAACGAATAACTTAAGATTGTTTAAAAATTGAAAAACCTATTCTATGCATTTTATGTAAAGTAGTTATATTTTATAATCACGATTATACTTTAAAAGCATTAATGCACTTTTCAAGGCATGGATTATACTCCATAAATGTGTTAAATAGACATTGTTAGGTCAGCAGAGTAGTCTTTGCTAAGATGAATTAAGATGTCGCTCATATTCGCTTAGAAAGACGTTCCTCCATTATTTCATATAATGAGCTTAATTATGATTTTATAACTACTCTCCGCTTGTTTTCCATAATTCAGCACACACTTCAAGCAAATTATATTTTCTGACAATGGCCGGGTAAACTGAAATATAAACGCTTTGCTACAAGATTTGCCGATAAAGCAAAATACGTTCGAACGATGAGTAGACGTGTATGCTAATCAACCTTTAGTATGAGGCGACGAAAAAAGGCTCTCATGATCCAGGTGAGCTACTATTCAAGTGTAATTGTTGATGCTTATCGATTGCGCTGACGTATGGAAATCAGCTCGGGTGAAACCAGAGTAGAAGTGGCCAAGTTCTTTTCGTAAGAAATCAAGATTTAAGAATAAATTAAGATTATCGGACTATCGCGTTCCAGAACATTTTACACTTGATGTAATAATGCAGGTGTGTTGAGATTTGCAAGAAAGATTCATTAGAGCTTTTAACACATTGTAGCAAGACAGAAATGAATTAATCACGATACTTATTTAGATTTTTCTTTCTGAAAGCTTTTATTATCAAGCATGCTAAAATATGCCTATATTTTTTATAACTGATATCATTTTCTTCTACATATTTTATGCGATAAACGTGAGTTTTTATTTAATTCTGTTGGATATTTATCTGTAAAAAGTGTATATAACATTTTTAAGCTCTCTGTCCGCTTTATTGATGAGACAGTCTATCAAAGAAAGATTAACAGGTTGCATATTTAACGTTAATAATGTTTTTCTTTAGAGAATAAAATTTATTACTTGCAATAAAAACGATAATTTATTTAGTTAGTTAAAGTCTCATCGAAGTGAATAATTTGTAGTCAGTATTGTTACGCATCATTTTAAGACAAAATGTAAGATAAACATACAATTACCTATACATTTCGTTGCTAGATTATTATAATTCATAATAACAATAAGCATTGATAAAAATAAAATGAAAAAAAAGTCCGCTGCGGACAGGATTCGAACCTGTGCGGGCATAGCCCATCAGATTTCGAGTCTGACTCCTTAACCACTCGGACACCGCAGCATATGCTCATCCTCACGAAAACGCCGCACAATATTTTCTAGTACTTTGTATTTGGGTTATCAAGTTACAAAAATAAAAATAAATGTTTGAATAATAAATGTTTATTTTGAGGCTATTTATATTAATTAAATCTTTAGTAGATCAAAAATTGTATCTTGCCAAAAATAAACATTAAAATTTAAAGCAAAGTTTCGCTTTGGACAGGATCGAACCTGTGCGAGCAAAGCCCATCAGATTCTGTCTCTAACTATTCGCACGATGCAGCCTCGGTTTTGCAATGGCAATAACAAAACAATGATTTTCTAACCAATTACGGAATTGGAAATATATATCAACTGAATTTTCTACTGATCATGAACTTTAGATAATAAATACACAGCTCAGCTTGTAAATTAGAGCTTACAAATTATTGCGTGTACTGAGTATTCACTCGATAATCTCCGAAATGACGCGTAACTCGCCAATTCAAATCGGGCTGTTTTTATTGTTATGCGGCATTTCTAAGTAAAAAAAAACGAAATGCGACAAGCAAGCGACAAATGCCGAATTGATGTACGTTGCAGGTGCACTGAGCCTCGACCTAGCGAACATGCCGAGAGGCAGCCATAGTTCGACGAACTGTACTCTGAGGCTGATTGATCCGCAGTCGCCGCGAGTCAGCTTGTTTAGCGTACAGAGAACTCGTGCTTGGTGGCCTCTCGCCAGTATCGATGTGGATAGCAAGCATAAGCCTGCGGTACGTATTTAGCCGTGCTATACTTGCCCACGCTAATATTCAACATCAATTTCTAGTTTGCGACATGCCGGCTCGTTTCATGTTCTTAATTATTGTTTCATTATTTTCAAATTATAAACAGGAAAGAACTTTCATTTATAAAAAAGTTATTAGAATCAATAAATGACTGTAGTATATATATATTACTCAGCTTTCTCACGGTCGCGAATGAACGTTTTGTATTTATCACAAATTTACGTAGAATAATGAAATCCAGAAAAATAGTGTACTAAAGAATTAGTGATAACGTAAAACACAAGTAATTGATAAATATTGAAATAGCTTTACTCGCAATCATTCACTATTACTCGAAAAATTATTAAGAATTATTTGTTCTCCCTGCAAAAGTAGATACCAAGTGCCAATGAAAAAAAATGCAAAAACGTTTGTGTTACTTATACTCGGTAGAGAATCAAAAGCAGAAAAACTTCCAACGCAATATCCCATACTGCAGGGCAAGATCGAGCTCGAGTTAAGTCTACTGACAGCATCCGAGGCAGATAAACGACCAGTAGGAAAAGCTCGCGAACCACCTGAAGCTTTATCACCACCCGAGTAAGTTTTAATCAAAGTTTTGTTCCTTTGCACATTGGAAGTTCTACGTTGTGACGTTCAATATTTCATACAATAATGCAAATTTCCAAAAAGCTTTTGTGTGCGTGTGCGTGTGCGTGCGTGTGTGTGTGTGTTGTGTGTCTGCGCGCGCGTGTGCGTGCGTGTATGCGTGTACGTATGTAAGAGAGAGATAGAGAGAGAGAGAGAGGGAGAAAGAGGGAAATTTGTTCAGGGACAGCCTAAATAGTTTTACCTTGACATAATCGATTTTCAAGTTAAGTTGGATATTTTAAGATAAACATCTCTGTCAATTTTTAAGTCAATATGTTAATTTTTTCCAAAAGTTATTGATAATAGAGTAAAAACTGCCTTTCTGTTTGAAACAATTATCTGGGTAACCATTTAACCTATCGAGATAAATTCTTTTTTTAATTCTCATAATATTTATTTTAAAAATATAATTATTGAAAACTTATTTATTTACAATAAATATAATTTATATTAACAATAAATAATCAAATTGAAACTATAACAGGCACAGGTAGACATAAAACAAATGAACTCTATATGAACCATCATCGACCATCATAGATTAGAGCGAAGTTTGATGTCGAGAGAATGGGTGGGTAGACGACAATGCGCCGGGCGGGCTGTTTTTACTTCGTTATTTAATTACTGCGCTACTTTTTTAGCAAATTATTGTTTAATTGCCGTTATCGATAGAAGGAACTGCCGATAAAATTTGAACTGTTATAGTTTGTGAGGTAATGTTTATTAAAAAAGATGATAAAATTGGTATTAGCAAGTAAATCTAATTATATTCTTAAAGTAAATCTTATTAGAAGTATTTGAACAAAGTTCATCCCTATAGATTCAACAATTATCAAGATATTTACTTTCAAATAAAAGGCAATTGTATTAAACTATCAATATTTTTTGAAAAAATTAACACACTGACTTGAGAATTGGTTGAGATGTTTATCTTAATATAGTCAACAAATGTATCAAGTACGATGGAAATCGATGATGTCAAGGTAAAAACGTAGTGAAACGATCAAGACTGATTCTCCAGTCGTCTGGACGCCGACAAGCCATGCTCAATAGAACGTTCGTATAATAGTTTGCAATCTCGCTTCAAACTTGCGTGCGAGTGGATTTGATAATTAATTTCATTTAGATCTTCTGACACTGAGCTTTCGAGTTCAGAAGATATTTCGTTTAAATCTTATATTAAAATTTTGTTGATGTATTTAATAGTTTGTATAATTTCATTGTTTTAACCTTTAAGTATTTTTAATTTAAACGTCCTTTATATTTTGGCATACATATTTGTTTCGTTAATTACACGTCTTCGATCGATTTTTATCATTTTTGCAACTCAGTTAGTCTAATCTTTTTCATTTTCATCAATATCATTAATTGAAAAAAAAACACTGACCAAGGTATATTTTCTCAAAATAAGTGTATGCTAAAAAAGTCTGCCTTCTTTTTTAAAAAGAATCTTATAAGTATAAATGTATAAAAATAGCTCCTCTCGAATAACTTCAGATCAGTTTAAAAAAACATAATCGTTCAATAGTCTAAAAACAAGAAATGAAACATTGCCAATTAAGTCATGGGTGCGAAATAATAAAAAATAAAAAATGCTTCAAAAAGATAAAAGAGAAAGAGAGAGAGAGATGTTATCGCTTCATATATATAATGACCGTTGCCAACACGCACCTCGTAACGCATTATAACGATTAACTAATTGTACACTACACGGAACAATTAAGGGTGATGACTGTATTTCTTTTCCTCTTTCGAGGAATGCCTTTTATTGCAAATGTATATCGAGGATTTTCAAACCTTGATGCATAAATGAGTGGCTGAGTGATAAAAATTGGTCATTTTTCGATAATTACGTTGATATGTGCAAATAGAGCTTTAAAAAGCTGATACATGGCAAATACGAAGCTATGTGTAGACTTTTGTATGTACGTCTGTTCATACACTTTTTCATCTATATCTTATTATTCTATTATTCGCCGTGAGTTATATTTCTACATGCAACTTTACCATTTGCAACCAAATGCATTCAATGACCGGATGAAGCTTACATATATTACAATTTCTTTTTACTTTGAAAACGTTATTATTTTCAGAGTAATACAACTTTTCATTAACGTCAAATAATTCAAGTTGCATCGGAAAAAAGAAGCTTTAAGTCGACAATTAACAGTGCAAAAATAAATTTACAATTACTTCTCGTGGCGCACGATAAACGCTTTTAATTTAACAAACTACGCAATTGTCTTTCCGTCCAATGAAGCGCGAAGAGGCGAAGAGAAGGTGACAAAAAAAACACAATAATCCGTAGTCACACATTAAACCGAGAGACACGAGGCGCGCGAGAGAGAGAAAAAAAATTCAAGAGCGTTGTTGAGTTCATAATTACGGGTATGTATTTCTACGGGATTTCCATGAGAATAACGCATATTTACCAGCGAGAGAGAGAGAGAGAGAGAAGAGCGTCGTACCCGCAATGAATTCTGATACGGTACCTATACTCACTTTTTTCCCTTCCTGCTTGTGGTTTAGCGTCTTTTTTTTTCTTCAAGTTTGTGGAAAGTAATTATTTTTAATTTAGTTAAAAAAAAGAGTAATGCTTATGTAAGTTAATTGGATTAAGAAGATACTGACATGTTGTCCTCACAGAGATAATTCAAACAACGAGGATTTAAAAAAGTTGGCATGGAGAGAATATTAAAATAAATGCGTATGCGTAACAGTAGAAAAAAGGCACCTTTGGTCAGACAATTTAATATGCTTTCTTTTTTAAGACATTATCTTGATCTATTTTAATTCCGCCATTGCGAATTTTAGGTCTCTCTAATTTATCTTATTTTTGTTATAAACAAATAGATATAGTTGTTAAATAAAAGTCAAATAAAAGGAATACAGTTCTTTGTTACTTTTTATTTCTTCTAAAGCCCAAAAACTTCTCTTAATAAAGTTTCCGAATGCTGCGAAATTCGACAAAAAAAAAGAATTGCACTGCGTATTCCGGTGGTAATTACCAAGTTTGGTTCAACAAAGTTTAATAGACTGAGTTATCTTTCTCGTAGATACGTATCAAAATGAATTTATGAGTGTGTTTGAAGTTCAACAGATAATTAGAAATTTACTCTGCACTCGTTAAGAAAAAAGAACTAACTACAATTTCTTTCTCGCTGTGATAACTGATCCGGTATTTTGCAGTCGGCCTGACACGTCATTCTCCTGGTTTCGGAATCCATGGAAAGCATGTTGCTTTGTGGTCTGCCGCTACTACAGATGGAGAATTCTAGGCTGCTGCATGTGCACCTTACTTGTACTATTAATTGGCTGTGCCATTTATGCCTTTCCCGGTTACCTCGTCAAGCGTTTTCTTGGAGCTTAACTTTTTTAGCCGGATTATACGAGTCTTCTTTGCTTTATTTAAACTGAAACGAGGTTCAGAACGGAGGACAAGTTTGTTAGGAATTTATTGCCAGGTTGGTTTTTGAATAAGTTATACATAATTTTATGGTCTTAAAAACGTAGGTCGTGAATATTTTATTATAAGATTTATGAAATAATTTTAATAAAAGTTTTCAAACAATCTTTTGCATTGTGTTTAATATCTACATTACAGTAACATTAAAAAATATAATTGATTATGCCAAATAAGCGCGATCAAATGAAAACAATTGTCTCTATCCATTATACAACTTTATGTTCTTATTTCGCTTGCGGAAGCACATTCATATATACCAAAGACAATTTCTCGAGAAAATTCAAGTCTCAAACGAACTTTATCACGACTTCGACGTCAATCAGACACCGATCGTAAAAAAACAGTCTCTTCTATATAAAAGTCAAAATGCTCTACACGTTTCGCCATACAGCGTCCGTTTTCCACAAAAACGTGCTTATTCACACAAAGACCTGTGCTGCCGTTGCTGCTGTTGAGGTTTGTTTTTTTTTCCTTTTCGTTTCAGCTAAATTGCCACTTTCTCGAAACTTTTTGCACACTTTTTTACATCTTTACTTTGCTCATTTTTAATAGTGTTTCTTCTTTATGTACTCTCTTGCTCGTCGCTTCGCTTCTTCCATTTCGTTTTTCTTTCTTCGACCGACCTCGAGCTTGCTAATGGAGATTTTAATTGCGCAAACTCAATTTTAACGTCCTTATCTTTTGCTATCAGCGGTGAGTCTTTTCAATGCGTGAATAATTTTCATTCCTTGACATATGATCTTAGCACAATGTCACGCCAATAGACAATTCCGAAGGGCACGTTCTATTGAATTTGTGGTAATTTCACGTACGTGAAAGTCGACCAAGTAACAAAGTCGACGAGCACACGTGAATGGCTTGACGTATTAGGAAACACAAATAAGTTTTACGCTGTTGGGACATATCGATCGAAAAAGAAAGTTGAGCTTTGGGAAATATAAATAAAACAACGAAATCTGCCTGGAAGAATTTTAGATATTATTACGACAAATAGCAAAGCGGAATGGAGGTATTGCAAACTTACAAAAAGCAACGGATAGAGCTGTAAATGCAAGCGAAGCTTACTCCAAAATATAATACGAAGAGAAAACAAGTCCGACTATAAATGGCTTGCGTCCTATAACTCGATTAACAAGTATTTCTAAGAAGAAAAAAAACAAGTGTCCAGCCACGCACATAATGCAATTTCTTACTTTGACAACGCAAAGAAAGCAAGAAAACGTGAGTAGTTTGCGTCGACCGCGCCGACCCTCTTGTTTATTGTCCTCCGCAAGAGACCGAGAGAGAGAGAGAGAGAGAGAGAGAAAGCGAGGCGAAGAATAATAGCCAAATAGAAACGAAAGGAAATAATGGCAACGAAGTCGCCTGCGCAACATCGACTTTTCAAAATTGCGAATTAAGGTATCGACTATTACTACAGATTAAATGAAAAGTTTAAATTGAATCGCATTGTCTTTATTAGATGCGAATAGTTTGTGTTCCATTGGAGAAGGGCAAAAATACGGAACGTAATATTGTGCCCAAGAGTTTATTTCTGAAATAAAAGTTAAACGTATAAGTTATGGTTATATAAAATGGACGTTTCGAATTTCATCGAATTTCCAAATATTCATTTTCAACCCAATGTAAAAATTTTATTGCAACTTTATTGCAGTACATTTATCTTTCTCACGAACGTATGTACGATTAATTGTATTCTATACGATGTCACGCATACACAGATAAACCGTCTGAAAACTCGCAAAAGTGTTCCGCTACGGGGTGAAAAATATTTATCTCTCTGACTTTCTCATATTTTACGTATCAGATGACGAAAAAAAAAGAAAGAAAGTACAATTCCACTCTGCCAATTCGCTGTGAAATATCACTTGCCCTCTATTGCAACAACTGAAAAGCTGCAAACTTTTCCCTTCTATCAACAAGACAAATGATCGCGGGAAAAAGCGGACACTTCATAAAAAACAAAAGTAGCCGCGATTACGTCTTTTCGAACTCAATTTTTCCTTCGTCGAGCAGCGCCAGATTGAAAAGGCATTGTAGACCAGCGTGCGAGCGACTGTAAACTTTAGGAATCCATAAATTTTCAATGGATATTGACTTTTGGTTCACTGGCAGAAAAAAAGTTGAAAAATTTTCGCTCGTTGATTAGCGCTACGAACATCTTTCGTCTCTCAGATTTACAAAATGTGTTGACTTTTGACATCAATGTTTTTATCATTCCATTTTTCAAATAAATCTTATGGTACGTAGTTGAAAAAAAATGCGCATTATCTATATAACAAACAATAAAACGTCGTATAAATCAATTTGACTTGGTTCGTAAATGTGGAAATGTTGACTCGCTGATAACGGAAAAGGCGAGTAAGCTCTGTATAGTGGCGCATGACTTTTCTATTTTGTATATCGTTTACTCGTTTAAATAAAACTTTTCTCTTTTAGCCGAAATTTATCGTGCATGACAGTCTCTTTTTCGGCGTGCATGCTCTCGTAAATGTATATGCGCGACTATGACAAAAGTAGGTAACCATGCAGTCCGTTTCACATTTCATTGACATCATTCTTTACTCGGTAATTTTTTTCGCGAATATGCATATGCTAAATATGATTTGCAACTTTTTCATTTATTTTGGATTCATTATTTCATCTATGCAAAAACCAAAGTTATATTTCGAAAGGGATTTGTGAACGCGGAAGATATGAATAATTAACGTTTAACATTCTGATTCCTAAGGAAATCAAATATTGAACTTTATTTGTAGCAGTATATTACCAATTAAAAGCATCAGGTTCGTTATATTTTTCCATTACAAAAAATGTCAATACCTCATCAATTGCAAATTATTCGACGAGAAAAAGAAGAAAGGTTAGGGCGACTCAAATAGATAGTCGCGATGGCACCTTGAAAAGCCATACACACACGCGCGAGTTGATGTCGTCGTAGGCCGCCCATCGTCTTATCGATTAACAAAGTGAACACGATGTGCGGCGGCGTTTGCGGGGCCATGTCACTGCTACTCGTTTTATCGACCCACCGACGCCGTCGTCGTCTCGGTACACTGCCGTTATTTTTTTATATATAGAATTCGATCGAATGCAACTCGGTTGTAGGTGGCGGACATATTTCCCTGATCGCATATCGGTAAACTGATTTTTCTTCATTTTCGAGAAAGGGGATATTGACCTGGATGTTTGCGATATATTTTCTTTCCAAGATTTAATGAGTTTTAGATGGCGTCTTATTTTATCGTGTCAGTGTGTCGCCGCCGTACAGACGTTGTGTATCAAGTATGCTATCAATTTCTATTTCTAGGGCAGTCTTTAAGTTTTTGCAATCAAGAGTGTTATTGCAAGCTTGAAAGTTTAAGTTGTTAGAATTATCGAGCGATCTATTTCCGCAAAACATGCAAAGTCTAAAACTATAAACTTGATTAATTTTGAATATTCAATAATAGCTAAAATATTAAATTATTCCAAATTCATGAAGATGTGCGTGATAATCGTTTTTATGTTTAGATTTTCGATCACAATTAAAATAAATTTTATTAATTTATTCAACTTAAGCTTGAATAAATTCTTCCCTATTAGAAAATTAATGTAAAAAGAACATAAACTACTGTCATATGAAAACATACATGAAAACACAAAAGATTGTAATTTTTCGAAAACGTTGTCCAGATTTTTGGAATTCATTGATCAGTATGAGTAATTTCTAAAAATTAAAATTTTTAAAATTGTTTGCCCCTATGCTTTGCTGTTGCGCTTATCCAATATCAGCAGCACGAGAACTTAACCCGCGAACGAGTATCACTTGAAATGCCGTCGGGAGTTCTTCTCGCTCGTCGTCGTGGTGCACGTGCTTACATATAAATATGCCGCTCGACAAGGAATTTTCAAGCAGCTTTATGAATAAAGCCGCGTCATCGCCGAGGTATATACATAGACTGCTGCTGCTACTATATTTTTTGATGTAATTGAATGCCAAAGCTACTTCAATTTCATGAAAACATCAGCACGAAGACAAAAATTTTTCAAATTGTTTCCATCCGAAAATAAATTTTTCTTGAATGCGAAATACTTAAATTCTTAATTTAGGAAAAAGCTCCGTTATTAAAAAATATTAAAAAAGAATGATATTAATCGAAGAGAATTTTTTTTACTTTTTTATAAAAACGCATTCGACGAATTAGTTCTCGGAACGTGACATTCCAGAAGAATTTCCACCGTTTCGAGATGAACAATACAGATTAAAAAATTTCTTTCTCTTATTTTTCAATATTATGCAGGCAGGCGCAAAAGAAAAAAATTCTCATCTCTTCCGCTGGAGTATGGACGGTATCGGATAGGCAACACAGCTCTTATGCGCGCGAGTGAAAAACGGCCAATGCACACGCGGTGGCAGTAGCGCGAGAGCATGAAATATGAAAGCTTACCCACATATAATTTCCGCGTATAAGGTCTGCTACGACTACTACCATGGCGAATTGCAAGCACACGCGCGAGCTTCGGCCACGTTTTATATAGTCGCAGCTCGTTTGTTTTCGTTCCGACTTTATACTGTTTAGCCTACTCGGCTAATTTACAATGAGTGAGTATAAGTGTACCTTTTTACTTTGTTGGCTCTCAAGTTGCTTTTTTTTTTGGATGTATTTTCTCGGTTGAGATGAAATTGGACGTAATTGAGTGGCGGTACTTTTGCTTTCGTTGGACGAAGAATGATTAGTTGATTGGACCTTATCAAATGATAATTGCGTTGAAGAGCTTGGATAAGACGCCTTAAATCCAACGAGATGAGAAAAATGAAGTAAAGACAGCTGGCAATTTCATATTTCCACTCGAAAAACAATTGATCAATGCTTACCACAGCACTGTGCAAATGACGACTAAAAAGAAGTAACGAGCTTGCATTACTCCGTGCAAAGCTTCTCTCTCGAACAAAGTTAGCGAGTGTGGAGCTAACAAAGCACTTTGCTAAATCAGCCGTGTGCGTGCAATATAGCCATCGGCATAAATAACTGTATAGACGTTTTCATCCAATAAGTCGAATCATACTCTCGCTAAAACCAAGCAAACCGTCGTGATGATGGATCTATCGAAATATTTCGAGTATCCACTGGCTGGTCGCTTTCCGAAAATAGCTAACGCGCGTATGTATATGGCCTCGCGCAAAATTTCACTCGGCGAGCTCATGCCGAAGCCGCCTTAATTGACTCAAAAGCTTGCTGCCACGCGCACAGCAAAGACCTTCGCAGGTGAAGATCTACAAAGTCGCATCTCACTCCACGCGTTTTTAAGCTGGTTACAAACTACAAGCTGCTTTCCGTTCTCTCTTTCTCTCTCTCTCTTTTCGTTTTCGAATCGTCAGTACGAAAACAGAAATGCATTCGACGTAAGTTCCTTAGCAAAAATACTAACAGCTGCCACCTAATAACGCGCCCACACACTCGACAAACAGCAACAAATTCCACCGTTTAGTTCGATGAACGAGCGCTAGCTACAAATAACCGCGCGGCGTCGACACATAAAGATTTATAGCCGACGCCAGAGAGTTTTTTTATTTTTCATTTCATTTTGCAACGTTTTGACATTTTACTTTCGAAAAAACCGTCACGAGTTGGTCATTCGTGGGACGGCTGAGTTATTTCACGTAGTGATCGATACACTCGAGTTTTCTGTTAGGGATATCGGCTCTTTATTTAATTATCTTGATCGGACTTCACCAATAAAACAAACGCGTCAGGCGGGCTTTTATCGTCTTATCGCGCCGCTTCGTCTGTTTGCGGATGCACTTGAATTTACAAGTACGTATGTGTACTCTAGTTATGTAAATTTTTTTTCTCAAATAAATTATGCGTGTTTTGAAAGTTTATTGTATGCTCGAAACAGTTTCTTTATTGCCGGTTTTAGTGAAGCCGCAAACATGACGGATTGATGAAGTTTGTAGACCGAAGAAGTCTGTCATATATGTACGTGCACGTGTGTGTGTCAGAATTTATATTATTGATATTGCGGGCTCTAGCAGCACTATATATCTTTTTACGATGACTTTTATAGGTTCACTATGATTATTAACATACGTTACTGTCAACGAAATGAAATTCTACAGGCCTAGTTTCGTTTATACTATGTTAAAACATTCTAAAAATAAATCTCCATTTTTTTAAAATTCCATATCAAAATATGAATTCTTCGAAAAATAAAAACAAGAAATGAAAAAAAAAACTTCCATACAGATTAAAATAAAACCAAGCGATAGTCGTAGATTAATGTCAGCGCACAAGAGTCGACCATTCTCTAATCCGATGTGTGTTGCTTGTAAGTATATATATTATATAGTCGCGCAGTCGGTGAAATAATCTGTATATATCTTGTTTCTATCTCGCACACAAATGCGTGTACGCGTGCGTATATACATACAAATTATTATACACCGCTGAATAGTTTTGCCAGTTCGTTTATCTTGAGTACGTTGCTTATTTTGAGTGCAAACTTTATTCTGACGACACATTGACTGCTACTACTGGCAATCGACAGGCTTTGAAATGTGATATGAACTTCCGGTAGAATCCAATTTCCGAATTTAGAAAAATTACTGAACGTGAGGAGACAACGGTCATAAAAATCAATGAAAATAGAAAACCATCATCTACCTGTAAAAGCTAATCGGCATTACCCTTCCTCCCTCTTCGTGTAATAATATCCCTAGTATCGGCCACTTGGGACAAAGGGAGTATGAAAAATGAAGTTCTCTTTTTTTCTTTTACGTCCCTTGGTTTTTCTCCTATATTTATGCTGATGATGGGGGAGTACGCAAGAATTCTCGATAAAGAGAAAAGTTGCAATGAGATATAAACAGTTTAGATTACTCAGCATAATCATTGCAGTTTACTTTGTCAAAGTCAAATTGTGCTTTGTACTTGTAAAAGTGTAAAAATTTAGACGTCTGTCGTGTATGAACGTACAAACGTACGTACGAACGTATACGTCATTAAAATATTAAAGTCGGCGGTTGTTATCACATCAATATTTGATAACGCGACACTAAACGGAGTAGCAGTAGGCTACCGATATATATAAGTTTCAATAATAATCGCCGTTTCGCGTTAGTTTCGATAGAAAGGGGAAAGGAACTTTTTTAGTACGCTATATAAAAGCTCCATAATGAAGAAGTCGTGTATGTTATACTACGCTGTGTACAAATGGAGTATATGCATTAATTTGCAGCAAGCTTTATGAATGAAAGAGAGAGAGAGAAAGAGGGCGAGACCAAGACAGAGAGAGGCAAAGTACTTTTAATTAACTTCGAACGGCTAATGTCTCGCTACTTCTTTCTTCTTTCGTATTGCAAAAAATATGATAATGGCTGCGGCGGTTACATTACAACTAATTAAGTCACGCTATACAGTTTTTAATAGCGATCTAAATAGATTGCTAATGAAATTGAGACTGCCTGTCAGAATTTTGCGAGCTTAATAGTGAAGGAACGTTTCATCTTATTCGAGTGCGTTGAAGAGAATAAGGGAAGATTAATCGACAGTTTCGGGAGTGCCTTTGATTATTACCATATAGCTCGCGAGGATGGCCAAATGCTATATGACTCAGCAGAAAGTTTTTTTTACCTGAGGCTGGATGGTTCATTTATTAGCGATTGCTTTTAAGATTCATGATTTATGGAAAGATTTATTTTCACTTGAAATTTGGGCATGTTTCGAAAATACCATTTGAAATCTGTCAATGCAATCCAGATCTGAGAATTGATGTTAACTCAATGAAATAAAGAAGAAAAGAAATGAGTACAATGTTCGAAAATAAATATACGCGGAATATTGCTGTCGTTCCGATGATGGCAAATCAAGCGCCTGAAAATAGAAAATTTCCATCGGTATGATGTCCCACGGATGCACTGAACTCCCACTCACACACACGGCGAGCATATCTATTTTGGTCTCCCACTAGCGGCACTTACGCAATCCACTTGTACCGGCCGATCTTATTTAGCCGTGATACAATGCGAAATTCTACCGATGAATTTGAGAAGCCTTGAACTTTTACGTACGTTAGTTGTTTCAAGTTTCGAATAATACGTTTTTCAGTCAAATACTTGCACGAGAAATTAAATGTAAATTTAAAAAAGCTCTGAAATTTACATTTTCTCATTTTACAACGAGAGGAACGCGGCTGCCACATTTATGCAAAGTAAATTCTTTTATACAATATTTCGTCAGTTGAAACACTTGAAAAATGAGTTTACGAGGACAGAGACAAAAAAAGTCAAATTAAAAAAAATCGCAATTATAATTTTCCAGTCGGCGAATCACAAAATTTCCTTTTTTTTCCATTTAATCTCTTCCTCGAATAAAAAGTAACCATTATACGGCAATTAAATTAACTCTCTGGATTTTCGCTACGTACTACTTGAATGTTCGTAATAACAACCCTCCAGAGAAGTAGAAAACGTCTGTGACGGTCGACGTTCGTTTATCCGTTCGTTAAATTAACAAAACTTTTTTCAGTCCTGTCGTTTGCCCTTTGCACGCTTCGTTTTACGGAATGTCTAAATAAGTCGGCACAAAAGAAGGGACGGAAATTTTGCACACCTTAGAGCGCGCGCAAGCCACACATCCCTCGACGTTGATGAAGCAACCCCGTTCGCGACTTCGTTCGTCTTAATTAACGTCAAAGTGCTTTCAGCCCTTTTACAACTCGCGAAGGAGCTGAGCAAACAATTGCAAAACAAAAGAAAGAAAAAAGGTAGCAAGTAAAGAAAAATTCCGCCAGCGCGGGCAATAGAACTTGCATGCGTCGATCTGAATGGCAGTGCACTTTCGTCCGCGAGAGAGCGCGCTGATTCTAGGCGGTGTGCGGTGTATTTTTGAGTTGACGTCGTCATGACGACGGCAACGGACTGCTAGTAGTAGCGAAGGTGGAGAGAGAGAGAGAGAGAATCGGCGCTCGATGCGTAGTGGGGATGAGATAGCGCCGCGGCGCACACGTTTCCACAGCCGCGAGAGAGCCGCCCGGTTTTAGTTGGCAATCGTGACGGTGTGTGTGCGGGGCGGGTGGAACAGCTGCGGCGTCGCGCGGCAGCTCTCCTGCGCCTCTCCGCCAAACAATAAAAAAAGAAAGGCCAACGAAAGGAACGAACAGAAATCCAACGACGATGCTGCTCGAGTGTCGCGTGTGGTTGTTGTTATTGTGCTAGTGCCTGTATGTAGGGGAATAATTTTTGTTTGTTTTGTTTGTCGTTCGTTTTTCGAAAAAATAAGACGGTGCGATCGAGGCAAGTGTAAAGATTTGACAAGAGAGGATAGGGTAAGTTTGAGAGCCGGCATGCTTACACGTGGTTTTTCCGCTGCATCGAGCTGCATCGAGAAAGAGAAAAAATAACGATATCGACCGCCCTCGAACTATAACGCAACTATAACTGCTTATTACTTTGGAAATGCCAAGCGAACTGTTGAATTCAGTCGTATAGTTTTCAAAGCCGACTGGCAAACGTAGCATAAAGCATAATGACGACTCGTTGAATATTCTAGTGTTATTGTTTTGGCAACTAGATTTACGCGAAGCCGGGAGTTTTGCAAGCTACTTGCTCGTTCAATTTCATTCAGGAACATACAGTTTTCCGCGTAAAATGCTTTCGCGCGAGTGATAATGCATATGAGCTCAGGTTGCAAAAAGCTTCCAGCGTCGAATTCATTTGTCATCATTGAAAAACGACGAATAATCCTTCATCTCATTCCATTTCCCTTTCGCCCTCTCTAAAAAAAGAGAGCGAGTTAAAAAACGATCTCTGATAATTCACTCATGCCTGCAGTCAAGCAAGCTCGCAAGGGGATTTCCGACAATGTCCGCCACTGAATTTTTCATGTAAAAGCTCGCTCTACAATCGATCCGTAACATCGAACATTTTTCCATATTCGCCGCCTTTTCAGCCGACAAATGTCATTTGCAAGATTAGACTTTTGAGGCGAAGGAAAACGAGATTACCGGCATGCCTCGCCTCTCCACCCCCGCAAAGTTAATTTATGCCAAGCAGTTATTTGCGTTCTCTGAAGAAACTCCCGTCACCTTTTGCTGCTTTCTTCTTGCTCTTTGTTTTACTACCTTTGCTGTGAGTGTGTTTTCGCGTATTTGATCGTAAAATGTTTTCATCCGCACGCTATTTACGAGCGAAAAGGATGCTTTTCTGTTGATTGGATCGATATTATTCTACTTATAACAGAACCAAGCAACCTTTGATTCCGTCAATGAATTCCTCGATTCGTTGCAGCTGAGAAAAAGTGCCCTAGCGCCGGCGAACAGCAGAAAATAAATCGATATTAAGCTGCATCCCTTTTTGAACTAAAAATTTCATAGGTATATACGAGTCTTCAACAGCTGACCTAATTACTCGGCGAGAGAGAGAGAGAGAGTGAGAGATGTATATATTTAGCGAATTCAATTTTACCATTCATGTTCTTCACGGAAAATCTCAATCCACGAGAGTTCAGCGACTTTAGACAGCGAGAGAGGCGAAAATAGCAAAATGGCCTAGGTGAATTGTCGTCTACGAAGCTTATATATACATATGAGCTTTCTCCCTCTCAGTGCATCGCCTTTTCGCTAGCTACGGCCTTTGTTTTTTTTTTCTTTTCGCGACTAGACGTCGCGCGCGTCGGTTCAACGTCTCACCTTTTCTCTTCTATTATTATTATATTTTTTTTCCTTTTGACATTGTTACACGCGCGATACTTGATTCGATTGAGTAAAGTTTGGCACACATTTCTGATCGAGAGCTCAACGGAAAATGTGAGTGTATAGAGACCCGGATGTGTCAGATCGATTTGACAATGCGGTCAATGGAAGTTCCAGCAGATACGTCTATATAACGCAGGCATGTGAAAATGTGGAGCGAAACCGCGTGACACGAAGAGCCACTTAACAAATTAGAAGCAAGAGAAAAGGAAAAAATTCATAAGAACCATTGCCTGCACTACCGAGAGTGACCCATTGAATTTTTCAACGAAATGAAATATGCACCAAGTCAATTAAAGGGGAGCGGATCAATGGCCACCAGTGGCATGCGTATTGCACACTTTTTAGATGTGCACATAAAATGTTTCTCTGACGAAGAAAGCGGAAAAAAACTGCTGTCTAATTAGCTTTTAAGCTCGACTAGAAGCATCTGTCATTGCAACATCATTAGTTTGGCCGTCTTCTCTCCCCGAGAATGAATGATGGATCTTTTTTCGCGCGGGATTAGTGGACCATGATATACGTTGTCACAGCAATATACGAGACAGAAGAAATCTACGATTTCGTTTTCATTACGTTTCTCGTGACTCATACTCACCATCATCAAAGAATCTTGAAAATTTGGTGTCGTTATTGATGAGACTCTGCTCGCCTCGTGCGAAATAAGTGGCTTAATGCGGTTGGCGTAGTTAATTAATGGCAACGTAAACACGTTCCGAATTTTCAATTTGGATTAGTTATGCCGAAATTCATCAGTCGCGCGGTTGTTGCTGCTAGGTTAGTGTTCCACTACACCGATAAACGCGCGCGCGCCGATGTGTAATGCAATTTGGCACACGCACGCCGTTTATAATGCTCACTTTTGGCTTGATGAATTTGGATTACATCGTTCGAAAATGTAAACGCCGAGGGAAGCACTGGCCGCCGATGTACCGAAGGCACGCCGTAAGCGCGTCAGCGAGTGGCGCTAAGTCGGGTGAATCGAAGGTGCAAATATTGATCGAGCGGCCGCGGCGTTTTGCAGTTTGAACACTTTTGGCAATGGTCGCGCAAAGGCACACGCGTATAAATACCTGCTGGCGTTGCGGAGCCTCTGACCAGCCGAGCGTTGTGCCCTGCGCGCATAACGCAGCTCGCCGTAGTGGGATTGTTAATTCCGCTTGTCGCCCATCGGCAAGTTGGAAAAGCCGACGAGTCCCGGGCCAGCGGCTGCTCCACTTTTGCCGTCTGCTCTCGCAAGTTTCTTTTCGCGTCGCTCGCTTATCGCTGCTCGGATGCCCGACTGTTCCGCTTCGCACTTGAATCAGTTCGCGATTGCCGATCGTTACTTGTCGCAGTGGCGAGCGCATCTGCAAAGGCCAACGACTAAAAGTATCATAAACGTATCACTCGTTAAATCGCCCGTTTTATTTGCCTCTCGCCGAAGCTGCCCGTTCGATCGATGCGTCAAACCAGCCGCACGCGCGCGTCTTGTGCAAATGCCCGACAGGCGTGCACGTATGCCGTGCAATTAAAGGGATTGTTGTTGCCGAGGTAGACCGGGGCCTCGAGCAATACGGTCTAAACGCTCACGAAAGGGCTAGACTTAAGGGGTTTTAAATCATTGTGCGAGTAGGAAGCGACTGAAATTTGCCTTCGTCCGCCCGGCCATAGTGCGAAGCGCCAGGAATTTGTCCAGAGATACGGCATATTCCAAACGCTTCCAGATGTCTTTCTCACATCCGTTTTTTGCAATTGTACGATGCTGTGTACTCTGAACGCGATCAATTGCCAGCGGAAAAACTTCCAGTTGAAATTAGGTCATGTTGGTTTTTCGTTTTTCCGCGTTTGCCCTTCACTTTCTAGCTTCGCGCTACGGTGTTTCGTCTAATATTTTATAGAGTAAGCCTTCTCTCTTTTTCATGATATATCGATTCCAAACGAGCTACGAACGTTCTACAAGTCTGTGTAAAAGCTGAAACAAGCGGTTCGGAGATTCTTCAAATTTACGATTATAGGTCGTGAAAATCCATGCATGTGCTGCGCAACAGCAAAGCAGCCTATCACAAAAGAAAACTCGGGATCGTGAAACTTTGATCGATGCCGTACGCACGCCACGCGGTTCATCGTCTGTGCTACGTCGACGATCAATAATCTCTCTCTCTCTCTCTCCCTCGCTCCATTCTCCATTCAAGTTTTGCGCTTTGAATAAACTCGCATTTACACACATTGTCACTTGGAGGTCGTCATTCGCTTTGCTTTCATTGCGTGACAAATTTTACGTATAGTGTTGTCAAGCGCGTTTCGCACTTGAATTCAGTAATATTCAGTTTAATGCTTGGATCAAAATTATTATAGGAAAAATTAAAGAATTTTACAATACACTGTATAGCGTATATACGTAAAACAATTCTATGCTTGAAAACGCTTACTATACGTCGATATTAATTGGTAAATAATCCAATCATTATGTCATATCTTACAAATGAGTTGTTCTTTATTCATTTTTAAATAAATAAAACCATCTCTACGGCTAACAATTTAATTTTGTTTATTTTTTAATATATTGGTTTATGATTTCAAGCTTTTCCTAGGATGTCTTCATATCAACAGATATATTTTTTTAAATTAAATACTTTTCAATTATTAATCTGTGACCATTTAAAAAATTTGCTTACAATTATAAATTAAACTTCAAATGTTTTAAAAATAAATTAACGGTGCCGAATACACCGAAATCGTTTTACAGAATTTTATATGAAATATTGATTTATAATTTTCTTTATTATTGATGATATTTATCGAAAACTAAAGTTTACAATAAATATATTCAATAAATTTATATGACCTATAAATAAGAGCAATTGGAGTGTATTAAGAATACTTTATCGCATTATTTCAAAATTAGACCATTGAGAGAATTTGGGAGTCATTGTTTTTTCAATGCCTGCAAATTATTATACTTACTTGTATTAATAGAATATTAATAGATGTAAGACGTCTCGATCTACTGTTTAGTGCCGATTTACTTGTAATAATGACCCATGTGATTACATTTAGTTTCAATCAATCGGATTACGAATAAAATGACTACACTCGGTACGCCATCACTTTTTTATATAGGAAAACTCAGGCGCGCGTGTTTCAAATCGAAATGTCGAAATTCGATTTTATAATTCGTTTTGTTGCTTTTTGGTTTGCTTTGTATTCATGCAGAGCGTCGAACGTTAAATGACAAAAAAGAAAACAATTGAAGCTATGTGATATTGTTTTTGAAAAAAAAATAAAACCTTCAGAGGCAAACAAAAGCCATTGAACTTCGTATGGTCATCTAGAATAATCATCCTAGCTACAGACAGAAAGAAAGAGAGCGAGATAGCGAGTAAACGTGACTCGCACACGAGGGTGTGTATGAAACACACCCAAGAGAGAGATAAGCCCAACCCTCTAGATTACAGATTTCTACCGGCGAGTCGATCGAACGACAAGAGAAATGCGCACATTAAGCTCGAGATCGATAATTCCACGACCCGCTTCTTGAAGATTTAACGAGTTGTATCCTATTCTCTAGTTAAGGATGATTCGTTAGTCACATA